AATAATAATAATAATAATAATAATAATAATAATAATAATAATAATAATAATAATAATAATAATAATAATAATAATAATAATAATAATAATAATAATAATAATATAGATAAATAGCTGCCTCCTTTCAAGGAAATGAAGAAACAGTAGATTCAGCCAAGTTAAGCAACTTGGGCCATTTTAGCGGCTGGGGAGTTTCATCACATCAACAGATCTGCAAAACTCCGACAGACTTTAGGAAAGAGTAGAAGAGAGAAAATGACGTGTTGTTGTAATCTGACTTTGTGACAAGTAAGTATATTTATTGTATTTTATGGCATCTGTTGTTGATTTCAGGTAATGTTTTTATTAGGGATGTCTGGTATTATTGGCCCAATATTAGCATAATTATGTAATATCTTTAGGATTTGTTATCTTCTGAAAACCCAATAATGTCTGGATTTACTTGTCTGCCCGTCTACCCATGAGCCACCACAGCAGATACATTTTAAAATGCCATTGATTTAAGCAGGTGTTGATAATATTAGTAAGAAATCAATACATTGTCAAGAAATATATTTTTGAAGAATGTAAGTAATTGCTGTGTCGCAATCACTCAGTGTGCGTTGAGTGTTTACAGAATTTCATCACAGTGTGTGCAGCCAATAAGACCTTCCCACTTCCTGGCTACAGGGGGAAATTTTGTTGTACTGTTGTACTGTTGTCAAATTGTATAAAAGCCAGCACACGCCAACACAGGCAGACAGATCAACTGTGACGAGATAAAGCAGGCTCAGTAAAACAACTCCTCTTCAGGTTTCAACAGGTAATTTGAATTCTCTTTTCCCATTGGTTGGTTCTTTGACAGGCTCATGTACCTGGTGTCTGATGGACGGCTATAGCTTCCAGCTGCTGACAGTGTCATTAGTTTAAACGCTAATTCATTTTTGAAAGTTTTTACAGAAATTGAAAAGTCGGATTCTCTCTCTTTAGATCTTTACCCATCCAAAAAAAAAAATGGAATCTGAGATGAAATGCAGCATCAGTGAGATGTGGCTCCCCACCATGCCGAAAGGACTGCAGTTGGAAATTTCCCAGCATCCGATGACAATGCGCCAGGTTTTCAACCTGGTCATCGCCCTGGAAAGGCTGAAGTCTGGCAGGTCAGAGTCAGTGATGAGCACAGAGTTCAGAGATGAAAACCTGCTCAGCATCATGTTGGACACCATCGTTGAAGGTGAATACTCTGAAGACTTGTAACATAAAAAAAAAGTAATGCGTATACAACATTTTACTAAAATCTACATAACACCGTATTATAAAAACCAACTTTTTTTATATATAAAAGAATACCAAGAATACCAAGAGGGCTCAATCAGATTGATATCCAAAATCCCAGTTTGCTTCGGAAAGCTTGTTCTTCTTCTTCATACTTATGTTGGTCACAGACGAAGGACGGAGGTTTCAGAAAACCTTCTTTTAAAACCTTTGCTTCTCTCTTTTCTACAGAACAACTTGTCACTGGATGTACTGCGGCTCCACCGGATGAGTTCTACAGGACTGGCATGCACCAGTGCAGTGTGACTGACAACCAGAAGAGGAACTTTGTTCTGAACAGCATGGAGCTCCATGCAGTGATGCTGCAGGCAGGCAGTGACAAACGCAAAGGTAAGTTGTTTGGGAATTCATATTCAAATCCAAAATTTAAAATGTCCACACATCCATGACACAGTGCTCAGTAACTCAACTTGTATCATCTGCTCTCTTCTCAGTTTTTCTCAACATGTCCACGTACATCTTTAATCCTTCATCCAGCACTGAGGCCAAACCTGTGGCCCTGTGCATCAAAGACACAGATCTGTACCTGTCCTGCCACATGGAGGATGAAACGGCGACTCTGCATCTCGAGGTGAAAATCCACATGTACACCAAATCTTTGACATATGCTGGGTGATCAAAAATCACTCCATAAAGTAAAGCCAGACTTGACTTTTCATGGAACATTTCAAATAGAGAAAGATTTCAATTATATATATTTCAGACAGTTTCTTCAAAACATAAAGATTCATTCAACACATGTACACCAAATCTTTGACATATGCTGGGTGATCAAAAATCACTCCATAAAGTAAAGCCAGACTTGACTTTTCATGGAACATTTCAAATAGAGAAAGATTTCAATTATATATATTTCAGACAGTTTCTTCAAAACATAAAGATTCAATCCAACTTTCTTGTAATTTTTTCCATCCTTTTTCCTATAAATAGGATCCTAAGTTATTAACAATTGGTTTTATTAATGAAAGTGGGAAACTAGCCATCAATGCAATAAACAAGGGAATATTTTCTTGTTCGCTCAAGACTTTTAATCGTACATACTTAGAGTACTTTAAATAGCAGTTGAGTACTTGTAGCCTACTCCTGTGCCTTCACTCATTAGTACAAATCTGACCTGTATCCTTTTCGATTTCCAGGAAGTGAAGGACCCCAACCGTCTGTCCAACATCCGTGCAGGAAGTGACGACCTGAGATTTCTGTTCTACAAGCGGGACACCGGCGTAAGCCTGAGCACCCTGATGTCTGCTCGCTACCCCAACTGGTTCATCAGCACAGCCAAGGAGGACAACAAGAAGGTGGACATGTGCAGAGAGATGAGCCAGCGCTACCAGAACTTCACCATCCACCAACGTCAGAGCTAAAGACTTCCACTTTAGTGGATAAAATGACAGTCTTTATTTAAAACAACCAAGTAGATGTTATTTAAGCAGAACAGTATTTACTGTATGTACTGGGTACAGAAAGTAAAACATTTGCTAAACGTATTGACAAACGTACTGTCAAATTCAGCCACAAGGTGGCAATGTTGTGCTGTCTGGAAAGCACCCTTTGTATTTGTATGACGGCTGCGACAGTAAGTCTGTTTATTTATCTATTTATGCATAATTTCAAAACAATGAAATGTATTTAAGAATTTGCTTGATGACTGTTCAGATGTGGGCAAAACTAATGAAGTCTTGTAACCTATTTGTATTTGAGTTCAATATGTGACAAATAAAATAAAGAACAAAGAACTAAACTACTACAACTGTCTATTCCGTTTACATCCTCCAATCAGAGAAACAGCTATGCGCATTAGTTTTGTGTCGTTCGCGAGTGATTTGTTCAAAATGAACGAGTCTTTCATATGACTTGTGACTCCCGAGTCATATGAAAGATTCGTGACTCCCGAGTCATATGAAATATTTTACTGTAAACTAATCTTTCACTACGAACGAATTACTCTCTGCAAGTTAATGTAAAGCTGTGAACTAATCTTTCACTACGAAC